TAAAAAATATATATAAATAAAATAAAGATTTATTAATTTATATATGAAGATGGAGAAATGATTATTTTAATATATTTTGAAAGCCTAATTATTTCTAAATGTTAATGAAGATTATGTCTATATATAAGAATTTAGAAAAATACATATTAATCCTAATTGATATTGTATATGAATACTTTGACTACATATAGCTTTTAAAAGTAAAATTTAAAATGACAAATAATACTCTTGGTTCTTCATTGTATCATAAAAATATGATTAATGATAAAAATGAAAAGATATTAAAAAAAAGAAAGGAAAATAATAATAAAAAACTCTTCTTAGATGAATCGTTAAGTGATATTTCTATATCTACTATAAGCAATAGCACAGGTATTGATTCAGATTTATATAATAGCGTTCTTAAAGAAATTAAAGAAGAAAAAAAAAGAAAAAAGAAATTAAAAAAAAAAAGTATTAATGAAAATGAATCAACAAAAAATGAAAATCTAATTTCCATGATTAATTTAAATGAAGAACAAAAAGCAGAAAAACAAAAAATTTCTCAGTCAAGTTTTGACAATAAAAAAAGACATAAAAATAAAAAAGATAGAAGAAGAAAAAAAAAAGTTAGGAAGTCAAAGTCTAGAAGTAAATGGTAAGTATATTTTTTTATAAATAATATATAACTTTAAGTAGAATTTATTAAAATATAAAAGTTACAAATACACACACAAATTCATATATATTATATTTTGCTTTTTTTAAAGTTCCTATGATGATAAAATTCCAAAAGACCCATTTAACCCTTTGTTATTAGCTTATGTAAAAGATAATAAAGTTAAATATAGGTTATATAAAAAAAAAAAAAAAAAAAAACAATTAAAAAAATAAATAATAAAAAAGTATATATTTTTTTGAAATTTTTTTATTTTTATAATAGAAAAAATGATGAAGATAAATTAAATTTTAGATGGAAACATGATAGGTAAAATATATATATATATATATATATATATTTATATTTATATATATATTATTTTTTATATGAATTTCTTTTTAATAGATATGAAAGTTCATCTGATGAAGAGGATAATGAAGAAAGAGAACAAAATGTAAATAAAGCTTTACCCAAAATTGACATATTTGAATTAAGAAAAAATTTATGGAAATCAAAAGCAGGAGTAATTAAAATATAGAAATAAAAAAAAAATAATAAAATAATAAAAATTTAAATTTTAAATTATAATGAAAAATTAAATATGTATTTACTTAAATTTTTTATTTAAAATTAATTTATTTTATTCACTTTAATTATATTTAATTTTATATTATTTTTATATTAATTATTTCTTATCTTTATAACAGGGTGTTTGCTTATCTCAAATAAGCGAAAATTTAAATTGAAAGTTAAATTAGAAAACAAAAAAAAAAAAAAAAAAAAAAAAAAATTTAATAAAAAAATTAAATCCTTAAGAAGAGTTGAAATATATTTGTTTAGTGGAAGTTCATAAAAGTAAGCATCAGAGTAAAGGATTTCTCACAAATATTAAGGTAGAAACAACCCAGGACTCTCAAAGCAATGTTACCACAGGATGATCCCTGTAAGCAGCTGTTGATAACAAAAGCAGTGTAGCTGTGTTAGTTTGCCCATTGACAACAGGAAAGATTTGGTAAGTCAGGGACAACATAGTGGTAATATTATCTCTAACAACTGGGTTTAAAGAGATGTGTCAGTTTTTTTTAAAATTCTGTATAATATAGTTAAATATTGAAGGAAGTGGGGTCTGGAACATAGATCTTTTCCTTATATATCCCCTAAAGCGTTCTTACTGCTCCAATAAATACTCACATATTTTTATAGAACCTGGAGTGGACTTCACAAAGTCAGGGAGAGAGAACTTTTTCCACCTAATCTACTTACTGCTGATAGGGTTTCCAAGCTCTGAATGTTTAAGTGCAAAATGCCTAAAAGAAAAGATACCATAGTGTTCCCACACCCTGACAGAGAACTCCAGCAAACTAAAGCACAACACTCCGGAAAATATAAGAGACATCTTCCTAAATACTGAAATTCTTCTAATCTGGTAAATTCAGTTTAGTGACTTTGAGACACTTAATGGCATTGGCTATTATCTGATGGACAAAGACAGAAATGGAAAGAAGCCAGTAATACTTTTAGGACCTGACTTTTTTATGATTCCATGATTGCATGTAATTTACTTCGATTTTCAGTCTTGCCTAATTTAATTTGTGTTCATTTTCTGTGTAGTGTGGTTAGTTATGTGTCCATTTGCATTGCTATGGTACTTTTCCTGGGTGGTCTTTATTTATTGGATTGTTTTTTCTGTGATCTACATCTCATTTAGCTGTCTTGCAAAGTGTGATTTGATATTTATGGCTACAAACTCTTTGATGATCAGGTTTTATTTGTTTTTAACTTTCATTTCTTCCTATCTAAGGATTAGGGAATGGCAAAATATATCCTGCTACTTGTATTTTCCTAGCAAACAGGATTTCCTGGCAGTATTACTTTTTCTCATTTAAATGTCTATATACAGAGAAGTTCAATCTCTCAGCCAGCCTGTAAAAGGTGTCAGTATTTTAAATTTTTAATAAAAATACATGGTTTTTATTAAATTAATGTCTTTTAAGAACAATAAGTTGTCAATGGAATAAACTATATATAAAACAGTTTACTGGTTTATAGCATTAAAATTAAATTTAAATTCATTAAACTAGTAGAGTTAACTCTACATGCTCTTTATTAATCTGTTCAGTATAATAGTAGAATAATTAATAAAAAGAAATATTAACCTTTTCGAGAATAGAATGTTATAGCTGCATGGAAAATAAATAGCCATACAAGTGTTAGATTAAAAAAAAAAAAAAGGTTGAAAAGAAAAAAAGAAAAATAATAAAAAAAAAATATAAGTATTTTTTTTTTTTTGACGAAACAGTTTCTTTTGTATGGAATTTATATTATGAATTTTAAAGAAATAATTTAAGAAAAGAAGAATAACAAAATTATCATGTGTTTTCTATTTATATAATTTTAGCTTGTATTATATTAATTGTGTACGTTTGTTAATTTTAATAAAATGTAATTAAGTGTTAAACATTATTTATAACAATATATTTAAATAAACTTGTTACAAATATCATACATATTTTATAAGCACATCTGTTCTACATTACAGAAGATATGCATTTTCTATGTAGGTCTTTTATTAACTGGGTGTTC